GAGTTGGTGCAGCACAGGCTGAAAGTGAAATATGATACTGGGACTAGGATCTTCTATTATGATTGAATCATTGTCTTTCAATCCCGTAAAATCTTGAAAAACGCACCCGTGGTAGTCGGTGTTGGTGGCGTAGTTCCAGGCACAGTATCCCAGGGTGCTGATGCAACGGTTGTAGCACGACGTGTAGCAGGTAGAGGCTGACCAGCTAAAAACAGAGATAGAAAGAGAAAAAGAAAGGGAGAGACAGAGAGAGAGAGAGAGAGAGAGAGAGAGAGAGAGAGAGATACCGTACCTTCCAGTAGCCTGAGCAGGCCCGCAGTTGCACAGCTCCCATCCATCGGTTTCGAAAGGAAATCCGGTGGAAAGAGACTCGGTCTGCCCATTGCAATAGTCCTAAAAACTCACACATAAATATAACATCCTAAGGGCAAGCTAGCAGCAACAATTTGGGATTTTTAACGCTGGATACCCCGCTGTCACCCCGCCTTAAAACCCACCGCGCACGCGTTCTTCTTCTGCTTCGCCGTGTAGGTGGACGGCAGCCCGGTGAAGCCGACGACGGCCAACACGAGGGCGGCGAGCAGGAGGAAGTAACGCTGAAAAACTGTTGGTTTCTTTGCATTTAAAATTTAATCACGAATTCAACCGCTACAGTAAACGAAAAACTCACCATAATTCAGAAGGCAGACGCAGGCTGGAATATCAAGCACTGAATGGCTTTTCCTTGGGCTTTGACCCCTATTTATATCAAGCGTTCTCGCGGTGCCCTCAAAGAAACCTCAAAGAAACCTCAAAGAAACAACCCTCGTAAAACGGTAAGCTCCGCCCCTAAATGCCCCAGTCGTGTTCTGAGCGACGTCTGGGTGAGGGCTTATCACTCCGGTCGGCCAGGCGCACGCCGAGACCCAATTGTTGCGACAATTCGGCCTTCTCATGCGCGTGTTGCGGTCTAAAAAATGGCTATACCGAGCCACGCTCCCTAATGATCTTTCCCAGTTAGCCGTAGATAGAAAGCGAGCAGTCTTCTCGCTCCTATGACTTCCCCACTTCCCGCCCTCTCTCTCTCTCTCTCTCTCTCTCTCTCTCTCTCTCTGTTTTCGTATTTCTCTCTCCCTCTCGGTCTTTCCTCACTCTCTCTAGCTCTTTCTATCGCTGCTATATTTTGAGTGTATTTCGTACACTATGTGGTATGCAGAGCTTTATTATTATATTTACAGCACGCAAAGGTTATTAGGGATGATCATTTAGGCCTGGTAGCACAGCCCAGTTCCCTCCTTGAAACACTTCTTCTCCACCGAGGCCGTCACGTTCGACTTGGTGCAGCAGAGGCTAAAAAGTATATAATTTTCTTATTCTTAAGCAAGTAGCTCCCGATCCCGGCTTGGTTTTAGCGATTTCTAATACAAACAATTACCCAGTGTAATCAGCGTTGGTGGCGTAGTTCCAAGCACAGTAGCCGAGGGTGCTGATGCAACGGTTGTAGCACTGGGTGTAGCAGGTTGAGGCCGACCAGCTGAAAATAGAGATGGAGGGTAAAGAGAGAGAGAGAGAGAGAGAGAGAGAGAGAGAGAGAGAGCGAGAGCGAGAGAGAGATACGGTACCTTCCGGTGGCCTGAGCAGGCGCACAGTTGCACAACTCCCATCCGTCATCGTAGAAGGGGAATCCGGTGGAAAGGGATTCATCTTGGCCATTACAGTAATCCTGGAAGGTATAACAACGTAAGTAAACAGGGGCAAAATAAAGCTAGCAAAGACAATTTAGAATTTTTGTTCTTGATAACGAGATTTTTATGACGTAAAAGATCTATTTTAAGCATAGTAAAATTGAGTTAAGCTAGCCGAGACAATTTGAGCTAAAGCAGAGCTTCTTTTCATCAAAGCGCCCGTTTTATGCTAGTTTCATGCGTCGACTGTCCTGCTCCCCTTAATTAGAAGTATCGAAAGCTAGCAGAGATTGTTTGGGTTATTCTAGTTTGAAACCCACCGCGCACGCGTCCTTGAGCTGCTTCGTCGAGTAGGTCGACGGCAGCCCGGTGAAGCCGGAAACGGCCAAGATAAGCGCGATAAGCACGATGAAAAGCGCTGAAAATCCAGGAAATTAAATAGGACCAAATGGGCCAGAATTCAGCTACAGTAACCGGCGAAGGCGTACCATGATTCGAAGCGTATGCTTTGCAGAGAATGCGTTATTTCTTACCAAGCTTGGCCCCCCTATTTATGCAAAAAAAAGTTGACGCCAAACTACAGGTAAACAGCTCTGGTTAAACCGCAGACTCCGCCCCCATTTCTTATGATTTTTTCTGCCGACCTCCACGGGCTTATCGCTTTTTGGGGATGGCCAAGAATCGCCGTTCTTGTTGGATCTTGGTTTTTTGGTCGGTCTTGGGTAGTATTCTGATTTGACAGTAAATAGAGAGGAAGCGAGAGGGCGAGAAATTCGGATTCCTGGCAACCAATGGGTTATCAGTATTTGCAGCGCAAAAGGGTACGAAAAACACCGATGTACTGGAAGGTCGACTACGTAAACAGTACGTCTTTCTCTGGTCTGGTCTTGCCTACTTTGTATACTTACGACCAAAAGATGCTGATATATTTATTAATAGGCTCAAGTACGGTCAGATTTTTGGCACTGGGCAATTATGCTTGATAGCAGAGTCCACTGCCGGGCTTGAAGCACGTGTTCCACACTGAAGTCGTCGTGTTCGAGTTGGTGCAGCACAGGCTGAAAGAGGTTTCTAGATGTAAGTTGGCTTCGTTAGATCTTATTAATGCCGATTTGCGGCCGATGACATCTTTTCGTTACAAAAGGGTTACCCGTGATAGTCAGTGTTGGTGGCGTAGTTCCAGGCACAGTATCCCAAGGTGCTCATGCAACGGTTGTAGCACTGGGTGTAGCAGGTTGAGGCAGATCAGCTGAAAATCGAGATAGACAGAGAGAGAGAGAGAGAGAGAGAGAGAGAGAGAGAGAGAGAGAGCGAGCTAGGGAGATGGCCAGCGAGAGCGAGAGAAAGACATAGAGCGAGAGAAAGACAGCGAGAGAGAGCCAGAGAGAGCGAGAGAAAGACAGAGATAGAGACAGAGAGAGCAAGAAAGAGAGAGAGAAAGAGAGATACCGTACCTTCCAGTAGCCTGAGCAGGCCCACAGTTGCACAGCTCCCAGCCGCTTAGCTCGAATTTGAACCCAGTCGACATTGACTCGGGCTGGCCCATGCAATAGTCCTAAAAAGTGGCGATAGCTAGCAGAGAATATTTGGGAAACAAGTGGCGATAGACTTTAACCCACATCACAAGCTTTTTCTTCTGCTTCGGCGTGTAGGTGGACGGCAGGCCGGTGAAGGCGGACACGGCCACGGTGAGGGCGGCGAGGGCGATGAAGAAACGCTAAAATGCTCTTGCGAGGTTTCTATACAGTTTTTCCCAGAAGGCATCCATTTCATACAAATTTTATTAACAAATAGACATTTTTCGACAAACTACATTTTTCGATTCCGATTATCAATTTTTAAAGAAAATTACAAGATTTGATCAGTTTTTGCGGTGCCGTCAGAAAGCTAAGATTTGGGAATATCGAAATTTGATAACCTAGAAATCGGCCCAGCTACCGTAACCCTTATCGACTTACCATAGTGGACTGGATGGCTGGAGCTGGAGCTCGAATCAGATACCTTCTCCTTCAAGGCTGTCGTATTTATACAAAACCACCGACGGTTAGTATTCCGCCCACACGCCCACGCCTCGCATAAAATAGGATTTAACTTTCGATAGAAAAATTAGCGATCACCTTTTAGTGCCGGATTTTGAGGCCAGACAGAAAATCAGGAGCTTTTGGTCTGGGCCGTTTTGGTAGTTCGGTAGTAGAGAGAGAGAGAGAGAGAGAGAGAGAGAGAGAGAGAGAGAGAGAAATGGAGAGAGAGAGGGAGACACAGGGTTATAGAGACAGAGCTAGGGAGCGTGTGTGAGAAAGAAGCTAGAGAGAGAGAGAGCCCGTGAGAGAAAGAGTGGGAGAGAAACAGATAATTATATATTCGTCCTACTTCCACTGCTGCTAGCGTGTTACAGTCTTTAGACATCAGACACAGCTGAATATTCTTCTTATTTTATCTGCACTTTTACATTCAGTTACGATGCGTAATCCATATCCATCTCTGCCTTTCGAGTTCCGTTCAAGGCTGCTTGCATGCATTTATGTCAGCACAGTTTTTTGATTGATTGATTTTTTTTGTTGAAAAAGCGATCCCTAGATTTTCCTCCGGGTTATCAGCGCTTTGTAGTACAGGCTACAACAAAGCACAAACGCGCGTATGGACCATGAGCGGTAGGGCACTTGATGAGCAACGATACGGGTTCGAAGCTATTGGAATCTATGGGCGGAGGTGCATCTTACTATTCCCGTCAGCTTCAGGTTGGCCCCAGGGAGATAAAGAGAGAGAGAAAGAGAGAGAGAGAGAGAGAGAGAGAGAGAGAGTAAGGCAAAAGCCGAGACAAAGTGCCAGAAAACCATGTTGATGACACGTTATTGTTCGAAATCTCAGGAGCCATTTGGTTATCAGTTTTGGGGCGCAAAGGGTACGAAACACGCCGATGTACTGGAAGGTCTGCGACGTAAAGAGTATGTGCGCGTACTCCAGGCCTGTCTTCCTATAAAAACCTCGGAAAGATGCAAAGACGTGGCTTTAGCACGGGGGAAAAGAACTTCTTATCGCCAAAGGTTTTTTAATTAGCGTTTCCGGAAGTAAAATTTTTGAGAGTTTTTTATGGATCTGTTGGAAATGCATAGTTATCATCATTTAAAAAAAAAAAAATCAATGTCAGATTCGAAAATGAAAATTGACAAAATTTTCTATGTGTGTCTGTGAATTGCTATCTCCATATCTCTTCTCTCTCGCTCTCTTCTCTCCTCTCTCTCTCCCTCTTTCTTTTGTATATCTAACGACAGAAATATGCTGATATATTTATTATGTGTACCCCAGTGCGGACACAATTTTCGGATCGAGCAATTATGCTTGATAGCAGAGACCGGAGCCGGTCTTGAAGCACTTAGTCTGGACGGTCGCGTTGGTGTTGGACGTCGTGCAGCACAACCTAAGATTTGGAAGGATATACGAAGCATGGAGCTATCGGAGAAATCAAGTCACTTCTGGCTTTACACTTCCTATAACGACAAAAACCGTACCCAGTGTAATCAGTGTTGGTGGCGTAGTTCCAGGCACAGTAGCCGAGGGTGTTCTGGCAACGGTTGTAGCACTGGGCGTAGCAGGTAGAGGCCGACCAGCTGAAAATATAGAATAGAGAGAGAGAGCGCGCGCGTGAGAGAGAGAGAGAGAGGAATGAGATAGAGAGCGAGAATAGAGAGAGAGAGAGAGAGAGAGAGAGAGGGAGAGAAGAGAGCTAGAGCTACCGTACCTTCCAGTAGCCTGAGCAGGCGCACAGCTGCACAACTCCCAGCCGTTCACTAGGAATTTGAATCCGGTCGACAGGGACTCAGTCTGGCCCATGCAATAGTCCTGAAAAAGTGACGATAGCTGGTGGAGGCCATTTGGGAGTTTTGACCTACTTGTACTAGACTATCCTACGCATTTTAACCCACATTGCAAGCGTTCTTCTTCTGCAACGTCGTGTAGTTGGACGGTAGGCCGGTGAAGGCGCAAACTGTCACGGTGAAGGCGACGAGGGCGATGAAGAAGCGCTAAAAAATGCATTGCGAAATAGGGATTAGTAATCTCTCTCTCTCTCTCTATCTCTCTCTCTCTCTCTCTCTCTCTCTCTGCTAGCTCCGGCGAGCTAAAAACTAAAGGATGCACCAGCTACCGTACTCCCAGCAAAGGAAAAAAATTGGATTTGGTTGGGGTTTTAGTTGTCGGGACTGTCGAGATTTTGATGGCTAGAATTCGTTGCCGTAGTGCTTCTTAAATTTTATGCTAAAAGTTGCCCCACTACCGTAACAGTGTTAGTTGATAAGGAGATCCCCAACTGTAGCCTGGCTAAATTTGGCAAAAATCGGAAACTCTAATGTTTCCTACCTACCGTACACGCAAAATTAAAGCAAACTCAAATTAAGCTAAAAATTGATCGAAATACCGTATCCCTTTACGACTTACCATATTGGGCTGGATGGCTGGAGCTGGAGCTCGAATCAGATGCCCTCCCTTCCGGGCTACCGTATTTATACAGAACGAGACGGTCCGATTCCGCCCACACGCCCACGCCTCGCATAAAATAGATTCTAGTCCCGGTCCAAAATTAGTGATCACTTTTTAGTGCCGGATTTTAGGGCCAGACAGACATCACGAGTTTTTGGCCCGTCAAGGTTGGTTTGGGTAGGTGCCGTTTTGGGGTTGTAAAAATAAGGGTCTCGGCACGGTCTGGGGGATCGGCGCGTACGGTAGAGGGAGCGAGAGAGAGAGAGAGAGAGAGAGAGAGAGAGAGAGAGAGGAGAGAGAGACAGAGAAAGAGAGATAGCTTGTGCGCAAGAGAGCGAGCGAGAGAGAGGGAAAGTGAGAGAGAGAGAGAAGTGACAAAGAGAAAGCGAGGGAGAGAGGCATACAGAATTATTTTTCATTATTTGTCCTCTGATGCTAGCAGCTTGCTGTAGTTTCTAGACATCTTAAAGTGCTGAATTTACTTTATCAGCGCTTTAAATTAGGTTACGATAGATAATCCATATGCGACTCGGCCTTCTGAATCCCTTTAAAGTGCCGTGGCGTCAGATTCCGCACGTTTTTGCATGCGTCTTTGCCATCACAGTTTTTTTCCATCCACGCCTAAGTGACTTTTTTTCGCCGAAGGACAGAGAATCACACACGGAGCCAATCGGCGGGGGTACTGTACTTGGTCAACAACGATTCGGAAGTAGAAATTCGTGGGTTGAGATGCATCTTGACTTCAGCTTCAGGTTGATTGGCGCCAGAGAGAAAGAGAGAGAGCGAAAGAGAGAGAGAGAGAGAGAGAGAGAGAGAGAGAGAGAGAGAGAGAGAAAGAGAGGAGTGAGGGGGAGGAAGACAGCGTGACAAATGGCAGGTTGCCTTTCGGAATTTTGGGAGCTATTTGCTTATCAGGTCTTGGCGGGCAAGACCGTACGATACACGTGCATGAGCTGGACTCGTACTACGTAAACAATGCGCGTGCGTGCTCGGATTTGAAGTTTAAAAAGTAACGGAAAGTTAGTAAATTTTCATGGATTTTAACGCGGTCATTGAGTTATGAATGAAGGCAAAATCAGGCTCCAGAAAAATTTTGAAGAGGGATTTGTTATATTTCTCAGGTATATTAAATGGCTTCTGTCCCACTTACCAGCTCTCTCTCCCTCTCTCTCTGTCTCTCTCTCTCTCTCTCTCTCTCTCTCTCGCTCTCGCGCCTCTCCTTGCATATTTACGACTAGAATATTGAGATTGACTGATTTATTATTTGTACTCAAAGGAGGGGCCATTGTTACATGGTTAATTTCGTCAATTATGCTTGATAGCAGAGACCGGAGCCGGTCTTGAAGCACTTCTTCTGGACGGACGGTTCGGTGTTGGACGTCGGCAGCACAGACTGGAAATAGAGGAAAATATACTACGTTTTGACGATTTAAGTGACGCTCAGCTGACGTATGGCTTTCCTGAAGCCTCTCACTAGGCCTTTCAAGATCAAAACCTACCCAGTGTAATTGCCGTTGGTGGCGTAGTTCCAGGAGCAGTAGCCGAGGGTGTTTATGCAACGGTTGTAGCACTGGGTGTAGCAGGTGGAGGCGGACCAGCTAAAAGGGAGACAGGTTAAGGTGAGTGAGAGAGAGTGAGAGTGACAGAGAGAGAGGGTGAATGAGAGAGAAATATGGAGAAAGAGCTACCGTACCTTCCAGTAGCCTGAGCAGGCGCACAGCTGCACAACTCCCAGCCGTTCACTTGGAATTTGAATCCGGTCGACAGGGACTCAGTCTGGCCCATGCAATAGTCCTGAATAGGTCAGTGAAATGTGCTACTCCGCAAGCTAGCAGAGAAAATTTAGGAATTCAGTTTGATGCCCGATCGGCTAGCTACGCTACGCCTAAACTCACATCGCAAGCGTTCTTCTTCTGCTTCGTCGAGTAGGTGGCCGGCAGACCGGTGAAGGTGGAGACGGTCACGACGACGGCCAGGAGGACGATAAAGAAACGCTAAAAAAATGCATTAGAAAATGCAGAGATTATTAGAAAAATATATCACGCTTTCTCGCTCGTTCTCTCCCTCCCTAACTTTCTTTATCTCGCTTCTCTCACTCTCTCCACTCGCTATATCTCTCTCTCTCTCTCTCTCTCTCTCTCTCTCTCACTCTTTCTTTTTCTTCTCTTAAATCAGAAGTAGAATTTTAGGGAGGATTTTCCAACAGTCATTGACGAAAATTCAGAACTGATAAACCGGAAACAACTGGATCCAAAAATAGAACAACTTCATAAATGGTTACAGAATCCAGCCAGACCTACCATCGTGATAATCTATAGCTTTGACGGAACGAAAACTAGAGGACAAACTCGGCGGGTTTTTCGCAGCGCTGACCACCCCTATTTATGCGAAAAAGTTGGCGCCTGACCCCAAGTAAACAACCCTCGTAAAAAGCGAGCTCCACCCTCTTTCATGTATTTTCCATTGACGATCCAGGGGTCTAGGCTTATCACTTTTTGCACCGGCTTGCCGCCAAAAAAATTTGGACGGCATTTTCGTGTGCATTGGTTTCATCGGGTTTTGGTAGTTTGGACCGTGAAGGCAAGCGGAAGTTTCGAAAATTTTGAACCCGAAAGCTATCAGTATCGTTCCCAATCCCTAAAATTGCGGCGTCTACCGTCGCCCAAAGTAAGCAAAAAGAGACCCAGCAACCGTAAGCTAGCTAAATTTAATTTGATTACCGTACCCCAGAACTAAAGCAAAACCTAAGATAAGCGAAAAAATTGACGCAGATACCGTACCCCCGTCCGACTCAACATATTGGACTGGGCAAAGCGAGAGCTCGAATCAGATCTCCACTCCACCAGGTTACGGTATTTATGAATCCTCCGTGGACGGAACACGGAACACGCCCTCGTCTAATGTAAAAACGGATTTAACGTTCAGCTGGAAAAAAGTGGATGAGTTTTTAGTGCCGGATTTTGCGCCGTCAGAGAGGAAATCACGAGTTTTTTGGCCTGTCAAGGTTCGTTTCGGCAGTTGCCGA